GAGAGGGACATCATGCTTGGGAGGGTGGAGGGACAGCGCAGGAGAGGAAGGCCCTCTATGAGGTGGATTGATTCAGTGACTGGGATAATTGAGATTGGAATGTCAGAGACGGTGCGGTTGGCCCAGGACAGAGCGGAGTTTAGGGCTGTTGTACATAGGGTCGCTATGAGTCGCAGGCGACTTGACGGCACATAACAACAACAACAACATGTAACATTTAATATATAAACATCTTGGAAAATAGCCATCACTCCCACAATAAGATCAGGATCTCCTGAACCATCTTTTTTCTTTTATACCACAAAAGTTTGTTCATAAGGCATGTGAGTGTGAGAAAGAGGAGTGACCAGCACAGCTCTCTGTTCATGTAGACATAGGGCCCAAAATTTTTTTTGCAAAATATGAGGTCTAGTTATAGCATAAAACACCAGCCTGGATGGTTTCCTGAATTCACTTTGGAGGGGAACCAGAGAAAGAAGGAGTTTGGGAGCCTAGGAGACTTAATCATTTATTCTTTCTACTTGCAGTTGCTTTTTTCAGGCACAGGGCTAGACACTGGAGAGGGAATTAGCTTACATAAGCTATCATTCCATTTTCCTTAGTGTTAGGGTCTAAAGGCAGTCTGATTTGCCTGAGTAAGGCCTACCTGGGACCTTGGGAAGATTAGAAAAGGCCCTTTTCTACTCTTCTCACCTCCATTTCTTCTGTCTGCCTCTCAGTCTTGGGTAATAAGGAAAATATGGATGTTATATTTTTAGAACATTTTAACCTGCCCCCACAGATTCCTTATTCCTGCCCTTCAATGCTAAGTTGGCATGGATACTCTCTGAGCAGGAGGGGAAGACCCTCTACGAGATGGATTGATTTGGTGACTGGGGTAATCGGGATGGGTGTGTCAGAGGCAGTGCGGTTGGCGCAGGATAGAGTAGGGTTTAGGGCTGTTGTGCATAGGGTCACTATGAGTCGCAAATGACTCAATGGCACATAACAACAACAACAACAATACAGAGAGAAGGGCATCAAAGTCAAGGGAATTCACCTGACAATAGAAAATAAGGAAGCAAGGAATGTCAGTTAAGCATCCATCTTTGTTGATGCAGGGGGCTTGTGAGAAAGGAGGAACAAGCTGGGAGAAGAGCTTTACAGATCTGATCCAGGGATTACCATCCCCTCAGGAACATGTACTTAAGTATTGTATACTGTAGTAACACTAGTCCTGTTATTTTTTACTTTGTGTACAGTTTTTTCATCTGTGATATTATCTAAAGTAGGTTTTTGTTTGTTTGGCCTAACCTGGAACCTAGTTGTCATTTTTAATACTTCCTTGACAAAAGACATTCTTTGTTCTAGGCAGCTAATTGAAGGTGAGATCCCAGCCTGGTCAGTAGTTTGTAGTAAGAGCCTTGTTACTTTTCTCGCATAAGCTCCCTGTGACCTCTGGGAGGTCTGTGCCATTTTTTTTTCTTTCTTGTTTACCTTCTCTTGTTTTCATTGCAGTCTGCTTTTTGGTTTGGTTTTGGTTTTGATAGCAGACTCTTGGACTTGATGCTCCTGGTTGATGTTCTTGTTCATTCTCTAATAATGACATGTAGCTAAATGGACCAATCAGTAGCATCAGGATGGATGGTGAAGAGATTGAGATTGTTCACAGCTTCAGTTTGCTCGGCTCCACAGTCAACACTCTTGGCACCAGTAGCCAGGAAATAA